AGTTGCCTGGCAAAAATAATTTGTTGATTGAACTTCAAATCTTGTAATTCAAGTCACTTTTCATAAATCTTGAGCGAAATTAAGAAACTGAATATTGATTTGTGTAGAATTGAATTTCTGATTATTACTTTTTGTCTTTGAATTTGAAAAAGACAGTTAAGTATTTTTTTGGATAAGTATTTTGATTGCTATAGTATTATTTTTGGTATAGTTATGCATCGCAACTTTAAATAAGTGATATTAATTTGTATAATTATGCATCGCAACTCTAAATAAGTGATATTTCTTTTAGTTATTCATTTTCTTTGATATTGAAAGTACTAGAATGTACAATTACAAGTATAGAAACATCAATACCCTTTTCTTTAGTTAGCAACTCCTTTTTATCAATTACCTCTCTAAACACATTCTCTCAACCTCTTTTTTCATCTTTGATAGAATTATTTAACAATTTCTGTTAAAATTGACACAGGTTTAGATACTTATTTTTGCATTGACCAATTTTATTAGTCTATTCCTCTCTCCCAACTCATATGACTCTTTCACTAATAGTAAAGAAATCCTTCATTTAAAGTAATCATAGCAGTATAAAAGGTAGAAAAGATAGGTAATAAAGTTAGAAAGAGTAGAAAAGGTAGAAAATAAAGATAAAAAAGATAAATAATAATAATAATAATTATACGATTATTAAATAATTGATATGTATATACTATTTTTATCGATTTGTTATTTTGTTATTATTTTTGAAGATTTTCATATTTTCTATTATTTTTGAAAGATTCGTTAATTATGGAATTTTTGGAAATAATTGTAACAATATTTTTAATAATTTAATATATATTCAATTTATAAATTATAAAAGTATTAATACTTTAAGTTGATAGATATTTTAAATCTCTTTAAATATTCCTTTGAATATTGTAAATACCTTTAAGTATTTGAAAATCAAACTAAAATGATAACAATAAGATTTTTTATCAAATACAAAATGAAAATAATAATTAATTGATATTATTTATTAGTTCAATTAAAAAATTCAAAATATAAATTCCATTAATATTCTGAAATAAATCCAAAAGTTATAAAATTGTATTGGAATATCATATAGTTCAATTTTTTGAATTGCTTTCACATATGAAAAAGCAAAGTTCAAGAATAAGTTTTTAAATTAATAAATAATACTTGAACTCCTTAATTAGGACTTAATTTGTTTTGTATTTAGCTGCAATTACCTAATAAAAATTATTTTCAATTTTTTAATACTCTTGAAATCTTATACAATACACATGTAGAAAAAAATGTAAAGGATCACCATCACAAGACTTAAAGCCAAAATATATTAGGACTTAAACATAGATGGTACAAATGGAACCATTTATATATAAAAAAGTATATAAAGTTGCAAGTGCTGGCATTGTCTTTAAGATGCCCAGAAACGAAATTGAAAGGTTCTTTGATGATCAAATAGATGAGAGCGAAGATCCCATATTTCGAAGAGTATTAATCAGAACTCGCATTCTCGCTTCTGCTTTTTGTTCATATCCAGCATATTCAATCAACTACGCCGCAAAGAATATTCAGTGAATAAAAGCGATATTTTAACAACCAAAGATTATGAAATTATAAATAAAAAACCTTGTTTACGAATTTCATTACAAATTCCGAGTAAATATATCCAAAGTTTTCAGCACCAATAGTGAGATTAGTATTTGGTTTAATCACATGCTCGCAAAGTCTCAAACCAGCTTCTACCATTACAGCGATAAAATCTTCAATGACTTTTACATGATTATGTGGAATTGGTTTATCCATATCGGTATTTTGTATAATGCGTAAATAGTGAAGAATCAAGTTGATATTCTCACATATATGCATAATCTTCACTTCAAAGCTCCGTACAACTTTGTGTTCCAATTTGTCAATCTGTGAAAGGGCCCAATGAACATAGTGAGTTGCCAAATAAATACTAGATAGGCTTAGTTTATCATTCAGCATTCCAGTCAACTCTACAGTTTGTTTTGAGATTTTCAAGAAAAGCATTATATTTGTCATCAACTATTAAATTTAATATATATTATTATTAGCTCATTCAATAAAAAATATCTCTTGAGGAAAAAAAAATACCTGAACAAGCCGTGGATCATCAACTGCGCTTTCATTATATTTGTTCAAGTTAATATGAATAATTGATGAAAATCGGCTATTCCAATCAAATAACCATCGTTTAGTGCGATCAATTAAAGAATCCTGAGCAGGATATCCTCTCACTCGCCATCTTAAACCAGATTCTAATAACACATCACCATATAAATATTTTTTCGTGTGCATTATCTCTTGGGCTTTTTCCAGATCTGATTTAAGATCTTCAGTTTGAGGAAATTCTAATTTTGTAGAAGCTTTCATATCTTCTACAATTTCGACATATTGAACAATGTCCTCCATATTGCGAGCCATTCCATACCATTTGGGAAACATTTGCTAATAATAATTTATTTATTGTAGATTATAAATTTTATTAATTTAGAGGTAGCCAACATTAAAAACCTTACCATGAAAGTAACAGAATAATCATTTCTTAGCCAATCTGCATTTATTAAGAATCTATCAATCACCGCAAGAATCTCGTGATAATCGTGTGGAATTCTTTGTTGTAAAAGCGAGAGTGCTGATTTTAGTTCAAGAACTCGCTCATGAAATTCCTTATCAAATTGTTCCGTTGTCATTCCACGTTTTCTTGCTTGAATTTCAAACCAATTCGACATATTAAAAGATAATGAAGAAGCCCAAATTCCCTCATTTACATGAGATACAATTTTATGATACATTTTGATGCGCTCGGGAATATTCTCTGGCCTTTCTGTCACTTGATCATGATCATCAATAGGTTCAATCGCACTATCAATCATTTCCACATCAATTATCTCGGTGGAAACATTTGATGATCGTCGATATTTGTGAATAAGACGAGGGTACGATTTGACAGGACGATGAGTAATGAAAGATGAAGAAGTAGACATCGGAATGTCAGTCTTTGATGATTCATCATTAGCAACTTCACAAGAATTATCACTTATTCTAAGAACTCTGGCAAGTTGTGATGATAAATCAAGTGAGCATCTTTGCGATTTCACTATACGTTCATCCTCTTCCATTGACTGTTTCCTTTTTAATGGCGTCAAAGTAATATAAGGCATTTCTTCTGCCATCTGATTTGCTAACAAAAATTGTGATAAATAAGTGTAGGAAAATATGAACTTTATTTTTTGATCATGTATTATTATAAAAGAAGATAACACGTACAGATAGAAAGTCTTCTTGAGCGTAGCACAGAATCCATGCTTGCGTCTGAATCTCGCGGCCTCAAAGGCATACCATTTTCGTCCAAAAAAATATTCTCTAAGTTTCGCAGAGATTTTGACACGTAGAAAATTAACCTCTAAGTTAAACGTATTTGACGGATTTGACAGATTGAGGGCACTAACCGAGTGCCGTGAGTAAAGTATTTATAGCATTACTCCAAATTTCAGACGTTAAAAGCCCATAACCGTTGCCATTACTATTGTTAAATTGAGTAAGGTCACCAAAGGACGACATTTATTGTAAAGGAATTATAATAGTATATATGTGTAATAGTCGAAATTTATGTTTAATCGTCGCGAGCAGCCTCTTCTTCTTCGTCTTCGTTGTCTTCTTGCACCTCAATCAGAGCGATAGTAGTTGCTAATAAAGCAATAGTCGTAATTAGGACGACTACTAAGTATCGTGGCTGAAGAAGTTTCTTAAAGAGTCGGAGGTACAGACTAGAAAAGGTTGGACGAGGAACAGGTGAGGGCTGGTTCGTAGACGATGAGGTAAATGGCATGATCGATGAGCGAAGAAATAAAAATTCAAGCTGATTTTTTTAATGTTACAAACTCATCCAATAGGGATTCTTGTTCTTTATTGTATTGTTATCACATGATGTTTACCAAAAAGCCATTATTATCATACACACACGCACTTTCCACCCTAAATACCCCATTACTCGATCTTTTGCAATTCAATCTTCTCGCCGTATTCCATTAATTCACTTTGACGTCGATTTTGCAAGAATTTCGAAGATGCAGTGATAGTAGGTCCTTGATAATATCGATACTCTGGTGGTACAAGAATTGGCCAATCTATAAAATCGGATCCATTTTTGATCATGAAATGAATAAGAAAGATAGCCAATAATATAGTTCCCCAGAAAAGAAGCCGATTCAGGTTAGGATACTCTGATAAATTAAGTAAAAGTTAATTAAGATGGTACTTTTTTGTTATGGTCCTTTTTACTATAATATTATTTACCTTCTGATTGAGGAACGATCATTGTGAATATCGATAATAATATTAGAATAAATATTGCCTGCGGAAACTGCACAATTAAGAAATTGGTAAAATGATTTAATTCGAAACAAAGTATTGAACGAAAAACTTTTAAATGGAAACTTACTGATTTTACATAGGCTGGATTAGTATCAACGAATGGTGAATGAGCAGAGGTTATATAATTTCCTAATAAGAGATCAAACGCGTCCTATACAACAAATTAAATATTAAAAAAATTATGTATTAAATATTTAAAAGCATAGAATTGAAATACCTGTCGAGAACCATCCATAAAATTATTTTTTATATAACGCGTGATGGAATATTGAAAATCTTGTATAGCTCCTGCTGCACTACGTTTACCAGTACTAAAAAATGATAACGGCATTAATTCGTAATTTTACGAAATTATTCTAAATGATTTTGAAATTACCGCGTATAGTCTGTTTTCAGAGCTCCAGTACCCGAATATGCAATACTAACTGCATCAGCATTATCAGCCCAAACTTAATAATATTGAGAATAGAAATTGATAAGCATTTACAAAAAAAAAATAAGTAGTCCAAAAATAATAACCAAGCCCACCATTGCTAAATACATGCATAAACTCTTGAATCTCATCGATTCGCTCTTTGTTACTTAAAACGCCAACCTCTCTTAATTGCTGGGTCAAAACCCATTTAGCCAAAGCAGATTGAACCACATTTGTTCGATCCAAGCAATCCATGCAATTAGTGCGCACAACCGAAGCCTGGAGGCGATGAGTATGAACACTAGAATTTGCCTGTTCGGAATAAAAATATCTAAAATATCACCATAAAATTCCTCAAAGTCAGGCGATTTGTCTTACTTAGTAATATAATTGGAACTTATTTAATATATACCCTTGCTTTAGTAATTCTTCCTCAATTTTGTCAATAAGAATTTGAATTCGGTCCCAACGCATTTTGCGGCATTCGTGATGAAAATCAAAGTGTAAATAATGCAACCGTGGGTCATTAAGACTTTTGACTGCTTTCTCATATGCCATTGCAATTGGATATTCATATCCTGTATTGTTTACAAGATTGACTAATATTTGTTCGCCATATATTCTAATTTGTTCGTCAAAATGGCGACGAGCAGTTTCATTCTATATAAATAAGACAAACTAAGTATTTTAGATTAAAGGAATATATTATCAAGTAAAAACGCTTACAGTATGAGGCAAGTCCATTATTTGTAATTTCGGCACGTATTTTATATTGCTGATCTGTGCCCAATAAATCGGGATTGAGCCGCGTGTTTGAACATATGACAATTTGATTTTTCCTTCAAAGGCTCCTGTTGGATAACCATCGCGAATGGGATCCAATAACACTATTTGTTCAGTCTCATTGAAATTTGAGACATTACCATTTGCATCAATACCACGCGAAAAGAAACGCGTGCCTATAATCAATAAATTGTGGGTGTCTTTTGAGTTAGAATGTGATCCTCTTTAGACACAAAGTACTGTCTATTGATACATGCCGACTCGGAATCTGCTTCGACGCGATATCAGAATAAATACTATATCCCTGTTATTGATTCGAGCAGGGGTAATTTCCACAACTAAGGTTTGCAAAATAAAATTAGTCAACAATGTAAATATAGAATTTAAATCCAATAACTTTTTTTCCACTTACAGCCGAACATTATGGGCAGAATATAATCGCTCATCTTTTGTGAGAATATTTAGATATAACAATTAGGTATATTCAGTGATGCTAAACTTTTGATGACATTCAACTTACATTTTGATCAGTACTTTCTTCGGTAAGATCAATAAGCTTTGATTGAAGGTAACGATTCCAAAAAAATCTCTGGTCTGCCTGCGTTTATTTTCATTGTTAAGAAATAATAATTAATATCAATATATCATAGAAGTGTATAAACCAACAAGTTTCAATAACAGAGGATTCGTATGTACCCTTTCCCATAATGGCTTATTTTCTAAGTCTCCAAATTGGGCTTGTCTTTGCAAAGTATGAGTCAAATCGTATGTGTACGAAAAATAATATGAATCAGCTTTGAGTTGGGCTTCAATTAAAAACAGAAAGCGGGCTTCGTCTTTTATCTAAAAGAATAATAAAGAAAATGCTAAGTTTTTTTTTATTATATGGTTAGGATTAGAAAGGTAATTTTCTTGAACCTGGATTTCGCTTAAATGTTTGGTACTCCGAATAATCGGAAGCACTTTTATCTGCTTTGCCCTAAATATGTCATGTGCCCCTCCTAATTTACCGATACGTTCTCTTTCAGTAATCACCAGCAAATATTCACCTATTTAGAATCGTGTAGGTAATGAGAAGTTAATTTAAGATTTATTTATGCATATTTTAGGTCATACCAAACAGGCCATACCAGAAATTAATTTAATGACTCCAAAAATTCCATATACTGTTAGAACCTCTGCCTGAGCAGTTGGTGAAGATGGTTCTGGTGCTTTATTTATTGAAATGAGCAAAAATTAACTTTCGATTAAATTTTGAGATGCTCCACTCGAGAATCTGAAAGACTTACCAGTTCTATCAAGTCTAAAACTACCGGTATCACGATTGATAACCAAATTTTGTGGGGGAACAGAGGGATCTAAAAATGATGGCACAAAGGTATATGTGTCGTTGTTCGCGTATCTGACAGAAAGTAAGATTCAAGAATCAGCTTTACAATGCTGAATAACACCATCATCCTGACCTTCAATAATAAAAACTTACAAGCTTAATGCTTCATGCACCATATTGTTTAAAACTTACAAGAAAATTTAGCGTTAGAGCAATATTTTAATGCAGGACGATCACTAAATAACACATTTCGATATACACAAAAAATGCTTTTTATTGGATAATTAATGAATCAATTATTTATTATTCCTAAAACAGATTATGCAGTTCTTTTTCATAAACAATCGAAGTGTTTCTCTCGTTCAGGTCACTCTTTGGCGTTACTACCGGATTTAGGTTCTGAATTCCATTTAGCTCAAATTTTCCATCAGGACCTCTTGAAATTCTTGGTAGCTGTTTGGAAACGCTATATCCATCTTGTGATAGACGACCGTTTTGGTCTGGTTTTGATATTGAAGTTGGAGAAGTTGGAGAAGCTGAAGGTAAAGGTGACGAAGATGAAGATGAAGATGATGCTTCATTGTTTGTCGATTGTACTGAAGTTTCATTCGATGGATTTTGAGATTTTTCAATAGTTTCGACCATCCTTGCATTTCTTACCCACTTTCTTCGACGCGTGTATCTACGAAATCCGCCTTTCGATGTAAAACTTTTCCATCTGTTATCGGCATATTCCCAGCCATCCTTATCCACATCTCCTTCCAAATCTAACCACCAATCAGAATCAGCCCAACGCCATTCCTCGGTCTTGCGAATAAGCATATTAGGTTCATTCGGTGATGCGGTTAGACTTGTCGTTGGGGGAGGAAGCTGGAAAGAGTTTTTATTATTTGTGGGTTCATTATATTCATCAGACCTGTTAAATGTTAAGAAAATAAATAATTTAATTTAATTTATTATATTTGTATACTCAAAACTCGTTCGAATAAAAAAATACCAAGGAGCTCTTTCATTAGGAAATAAATTGGTTGTCCAGTCAAGACCCAGCCACCAACGTTGATTCTCGTATAGAACAAATCGAAAAATGAGATCTGTGGTAGATGTTTTTGAATCATCTTTTGATGCTTTCCTCGCAATAAGTTTCTTTTGTTGCTCTTTGGCTTTACGGATCAAAGAGGCTACAGAAAATCCACGAACTCCTTCTTGTTTCAATCGGCCTCCCCATATAAATCCAATCAAGAAGCTTACTGTGCCACGGAATAAGGGAGATTGCATTAATGAATATCTTATAACTCTAAACCATGGACCATTCCATACCAAAACAACAGTTCCGGTGACAAGAAAGATCCATTTAAGCGATATAAGGAAATTCAAAACTATCCAAACTGGATAAGAGTATAAAAGACCCAAGATAACAATTTGTGTCTGTGAGGGATTTGACCAATTAATATGTGAATCTAAGTCTTTGACAATTCCATGAAAATTGGAGAGTTTTTCGGAAATTTTGTGAATTTCTTCGACCGTTTGATTTAAATCGAGTTGTGAGACTGACCGAGCAATCGGATTAGGTTTACCTTTTAATAATAATAATAATTTTAGTACGAGAAAAAATGAATTTATATATAATTATGTGTGCAATAAAATTATTTTACCAAGTCTCTCGCGTTTTCCCTTTTCTATCCAACGCCAAGCAATCCATCCAATCAGTATTATATGAGTTCCATAAACTAGAAGTTCCCTTGGAAACAAGCAAAGAGTCCACCAAGCAGCAACCAATAAGCAGGATTCTGCAGGGTTATTAGTTTGCCAAGTTACTAGTGATAGAAAATGCGAAAATGAATGTACAAATGGTGAGGTGTATGTTAACACACGAGTTAGGCTAGTAGGTGTGTTGGATATAAAGTCTACAGGAGAGGCGAGTGGAGTATGTGCAGCACTATTACTACCGCTCGGGGAAGGTGTTGAAGCAGAGCGTGGCAGGTTTTTATTAACTATAGACATGTGTGAGGTAGTAGTAGTCGTTTCAGAAAGGGGCGGTGACCAGCTTTCTGATAACGAAGAAAATATTGGCAGTCATTCATTCATTCATTTCCCACAACTATCACAATTTTGATCCTGAAAATGCACTTACACGTGAGAATAACAAAATTTTATGCCAATCATTTGTAATCTACGTATAGAAGTTTATTTATTAAAAAGCTTATCAGAACATTATCACACTCTAAAAATTCCGCGAAGACCTGTATTGCCGTAAGACCATTCCTCTATCACTTTAAAATTCTTAGGAACGCTCTTGAAAAATGTTTTTTATACATTTGCTTATTATATTTATCTTCTTATCTATACTGACATTATTTAGTTTATTCTCCCTGTACTTGGTGTGTGACAAATCGTTAACTTTTTCCTTTTCTCGTCTTTCGTTATTTTACTCAAAAGATACTCATTATGCGTCTTAATAAAGTTTGCCCTAGGATATTTTGTATGGTCGCCAAAATTTCAAAGTTACTTTATATTCGCGCATTTTCTGAATTTTCCGCATCGAGTTGAACTTGATAAACCCGAAGTTTTCGGGTTACAAGGTATATGCTAGTTGGGGCTTCTTAATTCCTCATTTCCACTAATCTTTTTTTCGAAATAGCGTTCTCTGCGCGTCACATTGATTTGAAAACGCCTGATAATTTAAAAATAGGTACTAAACAAATTAAGAAATCATGAATGGCAGTTTTGAGCGCAGTAATAATAAGTTCGTTTAATTTAACAGGGGTCTGGCATATCTTATCACGTCACAACTTAAAACGTATGCTTCCTTCACTTCGCGCAGAAGCATCCAAAGGCGAACATCAGCACGACTCTTTATTCGATAATGGAATAAAAAAAGCCGATCTTGTATTAATATATTTTCATGGTCAAGTTGGTAAGTGAATTTATATATGTCCGATTAAATAAATGTTGCTCTAGAATTATGTATTACTTTCGTTGAATTTCATATTATACTATTATAGGGAATCGTGGAAAGGAGAACAGAGTTTTGACATATAAGGTAGAGAGAGTTCTTTAATTTAAGTTGTTGTCGTTGATACCTTCATATCACATGTTAAGTATTATTTAGGCACTACAAGTTGCTCTTCCAACAGCCGATATTGTGACCTTTGATTACCGAGGATTTGGTGATTCTGGTAAATTATCATTTAGAAATATTAAGAAATAAATAATTTTGTATTAATTTGCTAATCGAGCTTTCAGATGGGTTTCCTACCGAAGAAGGTGTTCTTATTGATTCAAGAGCCGTATTTGATTGGGTAGTTGAACGAGTCCCAGCGAATAAAGTGATTATTTATGGACATTCACTTGGTAAGATTTGGTTGAGATGTCGTAATTTGATTGATAAATAAATTCAATAGATTATTATTTTCAGGTTCTGGAATAGCTACAAAACTTGCGCGACAACTTACAGCTGAAGGTATAAAATTTATATGTCATTATTATGAATTGATTATTCTAATTAATTTTTCAACTTCATAAAGGAGTTAGACCCCTTGCTCTTATCCTCGAAGCCCCTTTCACATCTGTCGGAGACATGATGACTGCCTATAGGAAAATACCTTTCATGAAGCCTTTCTTGAAATATCCAAAGATATTAGGTATATCGAATTTCGATCATTATTGAATAAAAATTTCAACATTCATTGTTAAAATTATCAATTTATTAGGTTTTTTCCGAAATTCTTTGGCTCATCCTTTAAACAATTCAGAAAACATAAAGGTTTTTAACGTAAAATTATAATAATCTAATCAAGTAAATTAATGACTTGACTAATGAAGCTGCTTTGTGCAGAATATTCACAAGATACCATTGTTGATTCTACATGCCCATAAAGACATGGATATACCTGTGTCATTTTCGCATTTACTATTTGAGCAATATCTTGCTTCGCATAAAAGTGATGACACAGTATCAGCAACAACGACAGTTATTGAATTTGAACGGGAAGGTACATTACATATCCAAAAGGATTTGAAAGCATGGTATTTACGAGCATTACATGCACAACATAATAATGTACATCACTGGGAATTTGTTGGTGAGAAATTGCGAGAGTTTATGGAAGAGGAATGTGGATTGAAACTTAACATAAATGACGACCTACATATTAATATGGTGAATGCAATTAAGCAACCTGAATAGCGTTAAATGCATACTCACACTTCACATTTGTAATAAATTTTATTTGTTACTATTGACGGCTTTTGCATTTTCTTAATGTTTTCACCTATTGATTTGCTTAAGATCTCAACGAATACAGAATGTGTGCAACGTATGATATTTTGATCTCATGTGGCGACTTTAAGAATGTAACTAGTTACAGTGCACGACACTTAAGAGTAGAGTATGCTATCAATACAGATGTAGATCGATGATCTAGCTATGGTTCAAGTAATCTATTTGTTTCAATTTTAAAATCTTTCAACTCAACATAAAGGCAAAATTTTCAAAACTCCACCAGTAACTTTGTCTTTTATAATACGTAAGCTCTACAAAGTTACTGGTGGAATTTTGAAAATTTTGTCTTAATGTTGAGTTGAAAGATTTTAAAAATTGAAACAAATTGTTAAATATAGATTACTTGAGCCATATTAAATCTGATCAAAATTGAATTATCAACCAATTATAAATTTTTGGTTTTTATGGATCAATTTAATTATAACAACTTCAATATTAATCATTTAATTTTAATTCTAACTCAAGTTTTAATTAATATAATTGTTACAAATAACAGTTATTACAAATAATAATTGTTACAAATATATTTTTTTTATTATAAATTTATTGAAAAATATAAGTTAAAAAATAAATAATTTTTTTATTATTATTTAATTTATTTTTAGGAAATTGCTATTCATATCATGATAAATTATTATTCATATCATGAATGTCATACATTATTATCATGTAACTAATATAGATCACATACAAGTTTAGATTTGTAAACATATTTATCATGTGAATCTGATCTGATAGCTAATAAACATCAAATCAAAATTATATGATGAATTTGTTTATAAATCTCTCATAACTTTCAATCTCTGATGATCTTGAAATCAATGAGAATGTACAAATTTTTAATTAATCCAATAAAACAAATCTATTACAAGAAAATGAATAATACAAAAATATGATATTATAATAATATCAATTTTGTAATAAATTAACAAAAAAGAATTCTTTTTTCTATTTTTAATATAATTAAAATATTTCTCAAATATAATTAAGTTATATTTATTTATTAGTGACAAATAAATATTATTAAAAGATGTTGAAGAATCTTTTTAGTGTAATTAAATCCTAAGTGTACTTTATATCCTTAGCAATATAAATGTAATTAATTCAATAAATCAAATAATTAAAAATACTTATATGCAAATAATATTATTTAAAGTGATAAAATAGAATTTTAAGTATTATTGATTTGATATAATAATTATATAGAACAAGTTATTTTGCCAGCTATATCTTAATCAATTAATATTTTTTTCAAAGTGTTAATGATTTATTTATTTATAATAAGTTTCAAGTACAAAAGTTTTAGATATTGGATTAATTATTTTGATTAAATTAAATAATTTAAATTTTCTTAATATAATAAATAAAATAAAATAATATATTAGATAAATTATAAAAATATAATAAATTATATAAAAATTATAAAAAATATAATAAAATATATAATAATTATAAAAATTAAATAAACTTATAAAAATTTTAATTATAACAATAAAAAACAAATATCTAAATCTAACTTAAAACACTAATAAAAAATGACAGAAAGACAATTTTTACATATAATTTTACTCCAATTTTAATACTAATTTTAACTTTTAATTAATATAGAATATTTAAATAATTATTGTAATTGGAAAAATAAGAACCAAATTAGTCTGTAAAAGTTCTGTTCTATATAATATACTCTATAAATTTCGTAATAATTGGAATAATTAAATAACAAAAAGAAATAATCAAATATCTAGAAGTAATTTAAAAATATTTAAATATTTTATTAATTATAATAAATATAAGTAATTAGAGTAAAACTTAAAAAGAATAGAAGTAAATAATATATATGAATGAAATAAAATTAATAATTAAGTATTATACTTGATATATTAGAAAAATAATAAAAAAAATTCTTATTTATATATTAATAAACTTCATGAAAACTTAATTTTTTGTTAATAATTATAATAATTCTAATTTAATTTTGATTTGAAAATCAAATAAAATAAAAAATATATTAAAATCAAATCTTATATAAAATAGATTATATAATAAATAAATTAATAAGATATTTCATATAAAAGTAATTGATCCTTTTGACTGAAGTATTACTAATCAGCAAAATTAATCAATTAAAGATATCTGTAATTATTATTACAAAAAAATTTTTAAAACTGTTGAAAAACATCTTTTTTTGATAAAATAATCAATAAATATAAGTACCAACCAGTTATAATTTATAAATAAAAAAATTTTTATTTCAAAAATAAGTATAAAATTACAAATTTAAATTTTTGAAACACATGTCTTTGCTTTTACCTCAAACTAATTATTTTGCAAGCTGCAAGACTCTCATTTAATATATATTTTTAATTATGATTATATAATATATATTAAAAAATCTGAATGAAAGAAGTTTGTTTATTTATATTATGATAGAAGTGATATTTATAAAAATACTTTGAATCTTACAGATCAAACTTATCAAAAAGTTACAGGTTTGTAATTAATAGATTATTCTTTGAACTTTATAATAAAAAAAAGAAAATTAATAGCATTTAATAATAAAGAATACCAATTACAATTACAAGAATCAAAAGATATATCAGATTATCTATTAAGTTACTAACTAAATAATAAAAAGTTCAACAAATATCTATAATAAATATTCATTGTTAGAAAATACTTTTAACTCTTTATTAAAGTAATTCAAATCTTATAGCAATTC